GAATTGATGTGATACATGTAAACGATATTCTTTGTTTTATTTTCCAGTTTCTTTGGAATTCTTCAGCTTTTAAGAAATGCTAGGTTTTCCGGTAGTGGGCGGAACTGATGCGCAAATGACAATCTCATTGGCTGGTGCTCACCTATTATCGTCCCTGTTTAGATTTCAGCAAATCAGTTCGAGCGAATGCACACAACCTGATTAATATTCATGAATCCAGAAGCTTGTTAATCTTTATATTGTTCTTATTAGTAGAATTCTTATAATAATAATAATAATAATATCTTATCAGTATTATTGTTAGTTTTTTTATTTTTACAGGAACACTGAATGACCAAAAAAAGCACCAGCACCAGTCCTAAGTTCATGGTTTTATATATATATATATATATATAAGTATAGTACTTCAGTCTGGCGAGTAAACAAAAAAAATGTACTAGCCAATGGCGATTCAATTGCCAAGGTGTCCGTAGAGGGTTGCCTGGGCGTCACCCTTAAAATTCCCAGGGGCAGGAAGGGGGCGTTACAGTACCATAATATGTAAAGGAAAATTCATCAACCTGTTCCGAGGCCTCCGGCGCCTAATCCACCAGTACCAAGTCCTCCTGTACCAAGCCCTCCAACACCAGGTCCAACTCCCCCAAGACCTCCAACACCAGGCCCAACTCCTCCAAGGCCTCCAGCACCCAGTCCAGTACCTTGCCCCCCAGGACCACCACCTCCATAACCTGTTACAAGTTGGACAAGTAAATATTTAATCAAACTTAAAATGACTAATTAAGAGACATTTAGCCACTTACCAGGTATTACACCAACTCCTGGTCATGAAAAATATGAAATATTACAAATTATTATATTACAATGCAATATTCTTTATTAATTGCTAATTTATTAAAGATTGTTATAGCACTGATATTGAAGCTATGGACACTAATTGCACATGAAATGTTTAAGAATAAATGTAAACTCTCACCAGTTCCAGGTCTTATGCCAGTTCCAGGCCCTATTCCAAGACCACCAGGACCAGCACCTGGACCTAATCCTGTTCCAACTCCTCCAGGACCAACTCCTGGCCCAACACTTCTGATTCCAGCACCAAATCCACCTCCTGGACCGGTTCCAGCACCAAATCCAGCTCCAGTACCAAGACCACCCCCTAATCCACCTCCAGTTCCTCCCCCTGCACCAGCTGGTATGTAGATTCCTGAGAGAGAAAGTGAACAGTAGTAAATTCCTTATGTCCTGTGCAGGAAAGTGTGCAGGATAAAGAAATAAGGAAACCTTTAGTTGTGTGTTTTTGTAAGTATTTGAGAAATCTGAAATTGATATGAGGAGAATAAAGAGAATGTTATTACATATTATCACATCTGCTGAAAAGCTGTGAACATCACTGTTTGCACTGCAAACCCATACTTTTTTTTCATTTAAAATGTCGGCCGATGCATATTATGATCTAACTCATGCAACACATTACCAGTTTATGAGGACCATTCTTGTGCTTTACTCAGTGATGATGCCACATTCCCAGGGGGTTCTAACTAATCTTGCATCTAGTCTTTCATGTGAAGCCTCAAACAGCACCGAATGCATTACCACATGAGTTTCTGTGTCCTCTTGCCTTGCTGTTTAAGGTGGAGACTAGGGGAACAGATAATGGATGTGATTCATATGAAGAACAACATCCTATACACTCTTAAAAATAAAGGTTCTTCACGATGCCATAGAAGAACCTTTTTGTCTAAATGGTTCCATAAAGAACCTTTAACATCTTTCTGTTTCACAAAAGGTTATTTGGGGCGAAAGAAGGTTCTTCAGATTACAAAAAGGTAAGAAAGAGATGGTTCTTTAAAGAACCTTTGACTGAATGGTTCTTTGTGGAACCAAAAATGGTTCTTCTATGGCATCGCTTGAAGAAGTTTTGAAGCACCTTTATTTTTAAGAGTGTACGTGACCTTTTACAAGAGCTTAGAACTAGTCTGTTCTACAAACCCACTGGGAAAAGCTTGTAGGTTGTTAGTATATGATGTAATGATCTGGATTAGAATTTCTCAGACCTTTCCTTTTACCTGAATAAAAAATGACAAGTGGAAACCATATCCATAAACATAAACAGTGACTTCAAATCCTTAATTTTTTTTTACATTTAAAAAAAATAATAATCCACCTGGATTTATAGAGTACTATTTGTGATTATATCAAATTAAACTTAAAATTACATTGAAAATCCTCAGTACAGCACTTTTAATTCAACTTGCTTACTTTTTTTATTCATCCATCCTTTACCTGTACCTAGAACATTCAGAATATAGACAACAAAGTACAACCTAAGTGCATACAGTGTCAGCAGTGTGCTACTAATTTTAAAAGAATGTAATGCTATTGCCAAAACTGCAATACACCTGAAATGCAATAAGAAAAAAAAGCCAAATGAGTTTGGAGAGACCTTACCTCCTTGAAGGGAGGGTTTACACTGAACCAGCAGGAGAAATCCATGCAAGAGTAAAGGTACCTTACTCCAGGCCATGCTGCTCTGTAATATCCCTCTCCACTCCCAAACTGTGGGTTTTATCCCCCAAAAGCAAATCATTGCACACCCATGTCTTGAACAAGAAGGATACGTAATAAGGACACTACGTAATAAGGGAAACTAGCACACTTGGGTCTTGTACATTGTTTTTTTTTCTAACCCCACCCCTAGCCCCCCCAAATCGACTGGTGTTAGTGCATTTATTTGGGTCACCTCTGCCAACATGAGTCAAAACATTGGCCAAAAAATAAAGACAGATATTTGAGGATAGGGAGAGAGAGAAAATCTCTCTCTCTCTTAACATCTACCTCACCAAGAGAAACGTCTGCCAGATATTCTCATGGAGAGTGTTTCTTTTTTATCCAATCAAAAGCAGTAAGAAATCACTCCAGATAAGGTTATTACATGATATATTGTTTTCAGCTACGGGGGTGTAAGTAACATTTAAGGACCGGACCCATCATTCAATCATTCAAGAAGGAAGAGTGCTCACCTCTGAGGTTTAAAGGGGTCATATGATGCGATTTAAATTTTTCCTTTCTCTTTGGAATGATACAAGCTCTTGGTGCATAAAGAAGATCTGTAAAGTTGCAAAGTCTAAAGTCTCAAATCCAAAGAGATATTCTTTATAAAAGTTAAGAGTCAGCCATGCCTACCTAAAACGGTTCGTTCTAACACGTCCCCACATATCTACATCGCTATGTGGGAAGATTTGCATAACGCCGCCCAATACCCGCCTCTGCTCACTCTAACCCTCCCGCCGTTCCTCACACTAGCGCCCGGCCTCTGCTCACTGTAGCCTGCCTCTGCTCACATGAAAATCATGTATGTGATGGAAAAACACTGAATGGGTGTGTGTTGGAACACATTATTGAAGGTTGACAACACAGATTTTAATAACCCATGTAGCCCCAAAACTTTTAGATCCAACTGGAATATTGATGGCTAAATCATGAAGACTTTTGATATAATGGTGCATCCTTAACGGTTTAGTGTGACCTCTGAGAATGGAGGCTTACAAGAGGGACCAATACATAAATGGCCTTTTCATAATTAAGTTGTTTCTCTTCTTAATAGGCAATCAATTGTAATGTACTTTAAACAGTCTTTTAGGATGAATGATGTCCAGAAGATTTGACAATAAAAGTATGAGTCACACATTACGCTAAAGGTGCTGTAAATGTCGTTCACTAGCTTAAAATGTTCCTGAATCTTGACAGTCATTTGTTGACAGTCATTTTTTATGATATTGTTTCTTCTTCAAAGGTATCACTCCATATGGTCACTTGCATTCGTGGGTTGTTGCCTGTACGCAACTGTCCGTTAGATTGTTAGATTCTTGCATATTATACAAACATTATGGCAGTTTGTGTCAACATTTTGTAAAGGAACCAAGGGGGTTTTCTGGAAAGGTACCATATCCCCCTCCCCACCCCTTGCTGAGTTTTAAACCCAGATTGTCTAGCACTCCTTGTTTGGTCTGGAGGAGTTTTGCCAAAAAGTCGGCGTTCAAGCACTAGTTGTGTTTCAGGCTATTGGCAAGGAATAAGATTAGGTCATTCCTCTACTGATGGACTTTTTTTTAAATTCAATGTAAAATCATGTAGATGTGTATACCTTTGTGTGTGCGTGTGTCTCGGTGTGTGTGTCTCTGTGTGCGTGTTTGGAGGTTCAGAGGGGAAGTGTTGGCAAGAAACATATCTCTGTAATTAGAAATAAAGAATGAATGGATGGTCTTTACTTTCCAAGCCACAAAAGTAAACAACATCCACGTCCATAACTGTGCAATGATCCTGTGGAGAAAGCATCGACAACTAAATATTTAAAGGCACCTGCTAGTTGTAAAATATATAATAATGAGTCTGTCTCTGTAAATTTGTATCATAACATGTAGGACCAGATTTTTTCTTTCTGAAAATGTAAGTGGTGTTTTTCT